TTGCAGACTGGTACAACCACTGTGGAAAACAGTATGGAATTTTCTAAAAAAAATAAAAATGGACGTGCCTTTTGATCCAGCAATTCCACTGCTGGGATTATATCCTAAGAACCCTAAAACACCAACCCAAAAGAACCTATGCACCCCAATGTTCATAGCAGCACAATTTACAATAGCCAAGAGGTGGAAACAACCTGGGTGCCCGTCAGTCAATGAATGGATCAAAAAATTGTGGTACATATACACAATGGAATTCTATCCAGCAGAAAAAAAGAAGGAGCTCCTACCCTTTGCAACAGCATGGATGGAACTGGAAAGTATTATGCTGAGTGTAATAAGCCAGGTGTTGAAAGACAAATAGAATATGATCTCACCTTTAACAGGAAGGTAAAGAAAAAAACAAACAAGCAAGCAGAATAAAAACAAAGACACTGAAATTGAGAACAGGTGGACTGTGACCAGAAGGGAGAGGGGAGAGAATTTCAGGGGAAAAAGGGGAAGGATTTACAGGAACTAGTAGAAAGGATACATGGACAACAAGTAAGGGGGGTAGAAAAGAGAGGGAGGTAGGGAGCGCTGCAGCAGTGGGTTCGGATGGGAGTAAAAAACAGAAAACTGTACTTGAACAATAATTAAATAAAATTTTTTTAAAAGTCAAAAAAATAAATAAATAAACACTGCAAACCAGAAGGGAATGGCAAGAAATATTCCAAGTAATGAAAAGGAAAGGTCTGCAACCAAGACTACCTACTGAGACTCTCCATTAAATTCAAAGATGAATAAAGGAGTTTCCCAGAAAGAAGAAGGCTAAAAGAATACACCTCCACCCAACCAGCACTATAAGATATGGTAAAGGGATTGCTTTAAGGAGAGGAAGAAAAGGAGTGAGAGAGAGGCAAACACAGGTACAAAGGGGGTAAAATGGCAATGAATAAATACCTATCAATAATAACCCTAAATGTAAATGGATAAATGCTCCAATTGAAACACATAGCATAACTGAATGGATAAGAATACATGACCTGTACACATGCTGCCTACAAGAGACCCACCCCAGAACAAAAGACCCACACAGACTGAAAGTGAAGGGCTGGAAACAAATATTCCAACAAATGGGCAGGAGAAAAAAGCTGGGGTAGCAAACCCTGTATCAGACAAAATAGACTTCAAAACAAAGGTCATAAAAAGAGACCCAGAAGGACACTTCATAATACTGAAGAGAACAATCCACTGAGAAGACAAATAATGTAAACATATATGCACCCAACACAGGAGCACCCAAATATATAAGGAAAATACTGGAGGACTTCAGAAAAGATATTGACAGCAACACATGTATAGCAGGGGATTTTAACACTCTACTGTCAAAATAGATAGATCTTCCAAACAACAAATCAACGAGGATATTGCAGCATTGAACAATGCCCTAGGTCAAACAAACTTATATTTATAAAACCTTTCCTCCCAAAGAAGCAAATACACATTCTTTTCAAAGGCATATGGAGTATTTTTAAAGATAGACCCCAGGGTAGGACACAAAACAAGCCTCAACAAATTCAACAAAATTGCAATCACATCAAGCATTTTCTCAAAACCACGAGGGACTGAAACTAGAAAGCAACCTTACGTAAAAAACTCAAAACACTCAAATTCATGGAGACTGAATAGCATGCTATTAAACAATGAATGGGTCAATAATAAAATCAAGAAAGAAATCACTGTTTCTGGAAACAAATGAAAATGAACTCACAACAACCCAAAACTTATGGGACACAGTGAATGCAGTCCTGAGAGGGAAGTTCATAGTGACCCAGGACTACCTACAAAAGATAGAAACATTTCAAACAACCTAACCCTACACCTACAAGAACTGGAGGAACAACAACAAAAAATGCCCAGAGTGAATAGAAGGAAGGAAATAACCAAGGTCAGAGCAGAATTAAATGACACAGAGACTAAAAAAGCAATTCAAAAGATCAATAAATCCAGGAGCTGGTTCTTTGAAAAGATAAACAAAATTGGCAAGTCTTTAAGCAAACTTATCAAGAAAAAAGAGAGATGACTCAAACAAAATCAGAAATGAAGAGCGGGTGGGGATGGTATAGTAGGGAGAATCTAGGCACAAGATAGCTGCTGCATCCCTGGAGACACAGGACAGGGGAAGAAAACAAGATTGCACAGAAAGGAAAGAGACAGATGTCCCTGGAACTTCTAGCCAAGATGAAGGTGTAGGTATTATAGTTTGCCTCCTTGCACAACCAAAAGAAGGATGACAAGAAATTTAAAAACAAAAAATCATGCCGATCTGCCAAGAAAATCGAACTGTATGGATGTCTGATGACCAAGGAGTTACGAAACATTCACCCAGACTGGTAGGAGGGGTGGAGATGGGCAGCTATGGCAGAGAGAACACTCAAGGCAAGGTGGCGCTTGGAGGACTGGGCAGCCAGACTGGCTGGAGGCCCACATTTGCATGCGGATATAGGGAGGAATAACTGGGGACCAAGACAGACTGCCTAATCCAGGGTTCCGGTGAAGAAAATAAAGCGTCAAAATCTCTCACTGTAAAAACCTGTGGGGGTTTGGTAGCAGGAGAAACTCCTAGCCTCATTGGACAGCTCACTGGAGAAACCAATAAGGTCTTGGAACATACACAAAACAACCCACCTAGGAATCAGCATCAGAGGGGCCCAATTTGCTTGTTGGTAGCAGGGGAAGTGACTGAAAACTGGCTGAGTTCCAAGCAAGCAGCATTGTTCTCTCTCTGACTCCTACTCGATATATAGCACTACAACCTGTAGTGATGTAAGTTGCCCCACCCTGGTGAATAGCTAAGGATCTGCCCCTTGCAACATAACAGGTGTGCCAAGACAAAGAAATGTGGCCCAAATGAAAGAACAGATCAAAACTTTAAAAATAGAACTAAGTGATGAAGAGACAGCCAACCTATCAGATGCAGAATTCAAAACTCTGGTAATCAGGATGCTCACAGAAGTGGCTGAGTATGGTTGCAAAATGGAGGAAAATATGAAGGCTATGCAAAGTGAAATAAAGAAAAATATACAGGGAACCAACAGTGAAGGGAATGAAACCGGTACTAAAATCCATTTTTTGGAGAAGGAAGAAATAAAGCATTCATATGGAACAGAATGAAGAAACAAGAATTCAAAAAATGAGGAGAGGCTCAGGAACCTCTGGGACAACTGTAAACATCCCAACATCTGAATCATAGGGGTACCAGAAGGAGAAGAACAACAGCAAGAAATTGAAAAGGTATTTGAAAAAATAAGGAAGGAGAATTTCCCCAATCTGGCAAAGAAATAGACTTCCAGAAATCCAGGAAGCCCAAAGAGTCCCAAAGAAGCTGGACCCAAAGAGGAACACACCAAGGAACAGCATAATCACATTACCCAAGATTAAAGATAAGGAGAGAATCTTAAAAGAAGCAAGAGAAAAGGAGACAGTTACCTACAAAGGAGTTCCCATGAGACTATCAACTGATTTCTCAAAAAGGGAATAAGGAGCTTGAAGGAAGTATTCAAAATCATGAAAGGCAAGGACCTTCATCCAAGCTTACTCTATCCAGGAAAGCTATCATTTACAATGGAAGGGCAGATAAAGTGCTTCCAGAGAAGGTCAAGTTAAGGGAGTTCATTATCAGCAAGCTTTTATTATATGAAATTTTAAAGGGACTTATCTAAGAAAAAGATCAAAGCTATAAACAGTAAAATGACAATAAACACAACTATTAACAACTGTACCTAAAAACAAAAAAACTAAGCAAACAATTACAACAGGAACAGATTCACAGAAATAGAGATCACATGGAGGGTTATCAGCAAGGAGAGGGGGGATGGGGGGAAGATCCAGGGAATAAGAGTAATTGGTATGTACAAAATAGACAAGGGGAAGCTAAGAATAATATAGAAAATGGAGAAATGAAAGAACTTATGTGTACGACCCATGGACATGAACTAAGGTGGGGGAATGCTGGTAGAGGGGTACAGGACAGAGGTGAATAAAGGAAAGAAAAAATGGGACAAATGTAATAACACCGCCAATAAAATATACTTAAAAAGAAGAAATGAAAGAGGAGAGATTATAACAGATACCACAGAAATATAAAGGATTGTAAGAAATTACTATGAACAACTATATGCCAAGAAATTTGAAAACCTGGGCAAAATAGACAAATTTCTAAAAAATATATAACCTTCCAAAACTGAACGAAGAAGTTGAAAGCCTGAACAGGCCAATAACAGCTGGTGAAATTAAAGAAGTAATCAAAAAACTGGCACAGAAAAGTCCTGGACTGGATGGCTTCACAGGAGAATTTACACAACATTTAAAGAAGAGCTAACCTTTATCCTTCTCAGAGTATTCCAGAAAATCTAAGAAGAGGGAAGACTCCCAAACTCTTTTTATGAGGCCAGCATCATCCTAATCCCAAAACCAGATAAAGACACAACAAAGAAAGAAAAAAAAATCACTGATAAACAGACACTAAAATCCTCAACAAAATATTAGCAAACCCTACCAAGCAATACATTAAAAAGATCATACACATGATCAAGTGGGATTCATCTCCTTATGTACCCTTTCCTTCTCCCTAGAAAAAGTCAGCTTGAGGTAAGATGTTAAGATGGTTTTTAAGGTACATAATCCACCATCTTCTCAGATCACTGGCATCTGAATAAAGTAATATTAAGATTCAATCCTTGTCTAAACTTATTTGTTCTGGTAGTGATAGGCAACACAAATGCCAACTTTTCTGGTTTCAGAATTAAGGTGACATTTAAAACAGGAACAGAGTTGGAGCCAAAACAATGTGTGTGAGATACAGTTTTATATTTGTACGCTACTGAGATTGAGGTCTGTTACTGAAACCAAACTAAATTACAATATAAATCTAGTCAAATGTCTGGATATCCTTAAAAATTCAGTGATTAAATTAATATGAATTCTAGAGGTGGTCTTTAAGTGTTGATAAATTAACTTACCTTTAGTTCCTCTTGTAAAGAAGCATACATTTCATTTATCTTGTGTACTTCTTTTAAAGATCCATCTTCTTTAAAAAATTCACGGCTGTAAAAATTACCAGTTCCTCAGGTAAGTGTACAGAATTCATTAAATGATATGATGAAAAACTTACCTGTAGTTGAGCTATGGAAGAATCACAATCATATTTTACTAACTTTAAGGCATCATTGGTTGAAAGAGGAAGTATTATTTTATACAGCATGAATAAAAAAATGCTAAGGCATGGTTATTAAAACACCCCAATTTGTGGTAAATTTTAAAATGTAAATCTTAGAATCAATGAAATGTGGTATTTAATTTCTGTAAGACGCTGTTAAGCACTGTGGGAACACAAAATAAAGTTTCTCATAAAGCTTATACTCCAGAAGTATCCTATGGTATTAGTGTTGTTATTTCTGAAAATTATTCCTTTAAGACCAGAAAATGTTTAACTTAGAAGCCTATAGTGTTTGTGAGTCTTGGGAAAAGCTTCATTTTTTTGTCTTTATTATGTAGTCTAATTTCATCCCTTTAATATTAAATGCTGCCTTAGAAAATTATTATTTTGAGGCTACCTACTTATTCTTAGAAAATATTTTAAAATATGCAATCCCCTGCCCAGGCTGGTGTGGCTCAGTGGATTGAGTGCTGGCCTGTGAACTGAAGGGTTGCCAGTTCAATTTCCAGTCTGGGTCCCCAGTGAGGGACACATGAAAGGCAACCACACACTGATATTTCTCTCCCTTTCTCCCTCCCTTCCCCTCTCTCTATAAGTAAATAAAATCTTAAAATAAAAAAAAATGCAACCCCCCTCTATGTATTTTATAAATAGACAAATGCTAGAATATAGAAAAAGTAAAAACAGTCTAGTTTATCTGAGTGACGTGATCATTAGTCAGTTTTCCTTTTATTTTTATTCTGCTGTTGTGTAACATAAAAGTAATTTCAGTAAGAGAACAGGAATAAGTTCAGTGAGGAAGCAACTGAGGAATCTCACCTGTGTGTTTTTACTGCTCGGCTAAAACCAGTGGACATACAGGAACCTGATACAGTTTTATAACCTAGTTGTTCAGACATGCCCAGGTTGGCCACCACTAAAGGTATCCTATGAAAAAGTCTGAGAAAATAAAATATTAAAACATAAACTTAGAACATAGTAAAAGATTAACATCTACTTATTAATATAGACTACTTTTCTCCTAAAAGACTAAAAAACAAAAAATCTCATTCCTTACTATTTATCCAAGACAGAATTTACTTATTTGAAAATGGTTTCTCAGAATTGTGAAATGTAGCCCTGGCTGGTGTGACTCAGTGGGTTGAGCACTGGCCTGAGAACCTGAGTTGCTGGTTTAATTTCCAATCAGAGCATATGCCTGGGTTGCGGGCTAGGTCCCCAATAGGGGGTGCTGAACAAGCAATCACACACTGATGTTTCCCTCTCTTTCTCCCTCCCTTCTCCACTCTAGAAATACATAAGTAACATCTTAAAAAAAAAAGTTGTGAAATGTGGTGTGTGGGGGAGGGGCAAAAAGTTATGAAATGTATATAGTGCAAAATAATTACGTAAAAAAATATTTATGGCTATTTTAACTGATTAGCACAACTACCACAAGGGCTTGGAGGCCACCGTCAACCACCTAGAGCTCTAGACTTCCTACATCTACCTGTCCATGTCTTACTACTTTGACTGTGATTATGTGATTTTGAAGAACTTTGCCGAATATTTTCTTCACCAATCTCATGAGGAGAAGAAACACACTGAGAAACTGATGAAGGTGCAGAACCAATGAGGTGGGCAAATCTTCCTCCAGGATATCAAGAAACCAGAACGCAATGACTGGGAGAATGGGCTGAATGCAATGGAGTGTACATTACACTTGGAAAAAAGTGTGAATCAATCACTACTGGACTTGCACAAACTGGCCACTGAAAAAAATAATCCTCATCTGTGTGACTTCATTGAGACTCACTACTTGAATGAATAGGTGAAATCCATTTTAGAACTGGATTTTACCAACTTGTGCAGGTTGGGGGCCCCTGGATCTGACATGGCGGACTGTCTCTTTGACAAGCATACTCTGGGAGACAGTAAAGAGAGCTATTGAACCTCAGGCTGCCTTCCCACAGCCACGTGCATGACATCCCTGGTCACCAAAGCAGTACGTGTATGTTGGAGTTACCTTTGCCTTCCCATAACTTGTACCAATCATCCACTTATGTTCTTCATTTGTTCCTTTCCTTCAAATAAAGTAATTTGGTACCCCTCCTCCCCCCCAAATAAGGCAAGATTGTTGAGATTTGTCCTATCTTCTATGAATGAAATTAACCTTAGTTGATACTCTTAACTTAATCCTCAGGTTCCATGAAAACGTTTATATGACCTTTGGGAAGTCCCTATTAACTCATTTTGGTTTATCATCAAGAACTACATTCATCCTGGCTGGTGTGGCTCAGTGGACTGAGCACCCGCTTACAAAATGAAAGGTTGCCAGTTCCATTCCTAGCCAGGAAACATACCTAGATTGTGGGCTAGGTCCTCAGGTGGGAGCATGGAAGAGGCAACTGATACATGTTTCTCTCACACATGGATATTTCTCTTCTTATCTTTCTCCCTCCCTTCCCCTCTCTCTAAAAATAAATAAAACCTTAAAAAAAATAGAACTATCTTACTTCCTTGTCGAGGTTACCAGCTCAAGTACCTAGGTTCAAGTTCTACATTATACCCTTCGGCAACCAATATCTAAAAAGCACACATATTTTTTCCACCCTATGTTAACTAATAACAAACCCTCAGTGCCAGAAACATAAATCAACATTCCATTCTGTGCTTCCAATTTCCTTATCTGACCTTCATTTTTCCATCTATAAAAAACAGATGGTAAGATAGACTTCAGAGCATTTATATGACAATCTAATGCAGCAATGTATGAAGACACCTGGTAAGCTACAAAAAGTGTTATGAAAATACTGGGTATATTTTTTCATTAGCTGAGGATTGCCAGTGACTGGCCAACATTTACCCTTTCTGAGGTTTATATAAGGCATGCTCCAGCCGATGAGTAGAGCAGCTTTCTGTTATTATACTTGGTGTTAACAGCAGAAAAACAAGTTCCCCACTTGAAAGATGCTTCTGTAAGTTTTTGTGAAGTAGTCTCTCTCTAAATGTCATGATCTGGTCTGAATGGCGTCGAAATTTGTACCAACCCACCACATCCTGAAAGGAAATATAGAAAAAAATATCAGGTGTGTAACTTAATGGTTACAGTGATTGTATCTTACTGTCATAATTAAGCAATAAAACTGATGGCCTTAAAAAACGGCTTTCTTAATATTTAGCAGTATTTTGCTAAATTTTAGCAAACAAAACTTACACTTAAATATACGCTTTACACTTTGTAAAGTACGCAAACTGTCTTGCAATTAACTTATTTTTCATTCAGTTTCAGGACTAAATTTTATTCTCTATTTCTTTTCATTACTATTTTTTATTTAATTGATTTTTAGAGGCAGAAGAAGGGGGAGAGAGAGAGCAACAGAGGAAGAGAGAAAAAGAGACAAACAATGAGTTGCTGTTCCACTTATTTATGAATTCATTGTTTGCTTCTTTTATGTGCCCTGCCTGGGGACTGAACCTGCAACCTTGGTGTATCAGGACAGTGCTCCAACCAACAGCCCTACCTAGCCAGGGCCTATTTTAGCCAATATAGATTAGAGGGTGGGGAAAAAAAAAGATTAACTTCTTTAATGGCATTTGCTATCTTAAAATCTTCATCTTTAGTCAAAATTTAGATTAAGATGGTCAAAGAAAACAAGTTAGTTTCCTATATAGACACTTAGTTCGCTAAACCCAGTAACTTTTAAAACTGAAATTTATATGGGAATGGTATCACCTATCCCACAAAGTTGAGGTTTTGGAAGTATATTTTTTTAAACTAAAAATAGAATTTCATTTGCTGAAAACTTAGTAATTATTAAAAAAAGAAAAATAAATACTTTGCTTAGAGATCTATCTGTGACAGTTTTAGCAAGTAAATTTTATATTTGCTCTCTTAAATTGAGGAAATAAAAATTACTTAAAAAAAACAAACTTTTTACAGATAAGTTTTCCTTTTTAAAATTTGATTTATTTTTACAGATAGAAGGCTGAAAGAGAGGGAGAGAAACATTGATGTGGGAGAGAAATTGATCATTTCCCTCTTCTATACCCCCAACTGGGAACCTGGCCTGCAACCAGGGCATTTGCCTAGACCAGGAATCAAACTGGCAACCTTTTGGTTTATAGTCCAACTCATCTCACTGAGCCACATGGCCGGGGCTACGGGTAACTTTTTAAATACTATCCAAATATAACTAAGGGGAAAGCCCATGCATTTTCATCAAAGGATTTTTTTTTAAGAAACTTCTACTGAATTTACTTTTATTTTGAACTCAGGGATCAAAAAATTTTAAGAGAAAAATAGGACTCAGAAATAATTTTGTATTTGGAAAAGAAAAATGTACTTTGATCATTCAACAAGTTTTAACTGAACACCAAGGATGCTGTACAGGATTCAAATAAGGTGCTGCATAGAAAATTGTTCCTGCAATATAAAAACTAGTAAGTATGGCTATGTAAAAACAGTAATGGATTAAATCCTAGAATAAATAGTACTGGAAAGGGATATGGTGGGAAGACAGAAGAGGAAGAGCTCAATGTTCATCAGAATAGTCAAGGGAAGGATGAAAACAAGATTAACACTTTTAATGACTAGTTTTGCTTTCACAGCAGCCCTTTTAAATTTCTTTGGGGAGAAAAAGTTTACCTGTGTTTGAGGAGGACACTGTAAACAAACATGCTGCATAAAAGTTCTGTCAACATATTATACACTTTAGGAACTGAAAATAATACTATAAAAAAGACAAAGTAAACAAGGGAGTACCTTTTTGACACTTGATAGTATTCTCTTCAGTGCTTGCTCATTTAATTCGCCAGAGGAATTGTAAAAGCTGTAAAAGCCAAAATTAAAGGCATCTCAAATAAACTAAAAATGTGAATGATTTTATTGTAACCTTTAATTTTAGTTTCTCCTAACCTACCTACCCAACCAAAATCCATATACCCACTGGTGTGTCAGATGAAGTTCTAAAATAAACAGTAGAGAAAGTTCTCAAAGTGACAGACTTAAAGCGATAGAATATGAGGTTCATAAACAATGAAAAAGGAAAAGGAGTGTTGTAACCTCTCTATCTAACTTCTCTTATCTCAAGAGATAAGTTCACACATCACATTTTTAAAAACAAAATAAACTATTCATTAAATACAAGTATAAGTTCACATAACGGGTTCAAAATTCACTGATAATTTACTTATGACAACTTGAAAAAATATATAGGTACATATGAAAATGTGTAAAATGAGTAATAAAGTACAATAATAAGAATGCAATTTATTCATTGCTAATTCCAAAAGCAAAACTTGCATTAAATTAAGAGAAGTGTTTCAGGTGTTTCAGGAGTTGGTTGGTTTGGGGGTTTTTTGAGGAGGAGGGAAGGAGGGACAAGGAACTGGTTTAGTTTAGTGGTCTTTGTTCTGTAGTTGGAAAGTCAAAGATGTAAGAAGAATTCAAAGATAATTCAAAAAAATTCTAAAGCATTTACTTCCAGCCTTCTTTCCCTTCCAATAGTAACAGAATACAAGTAATATTTTCCTACTAACATTTATTGAGATAAACAATATTCTTTTCTATGATGGCGTAATAACTGTTATATAAAATCCTTTACAAATAGTTACTGTAATAGACTTTTAATAGTAATCCTTTTAAATAACAGTCACTGTAGTAGGCTTTTAATAATAATCTGTACACTAAAAAACTTAAGTTACATAGAACTGAAGATACAGGGTCTAGCAGAAGTAAAGTGTGCTTTATTATACTCAATAAAATGGGTATAATAATTTATAGTTTTAATTTGAACATCTCACCTAAAATGTCATAAGGTGTGCTTGAGTGTGATATTGTTACATTATAGAATTTCATGCTTTCTGCCAAGATGGAGGCATAGATGGAGATGCCGTGCTTCCTCACACAACCAAGTTTAGAGACAACTAAATATTAGCAACAGAAAACACAGCCAGAACACAGAAAATTGAACTTTTTGGAAGTCTGATAACAACAAATTCTTCAGCCTGACCAGTAAGAGGGGTGAAACCAGCAGTTGGCAGAGTGGGGTTGCACAGGAAAACTCGGTCAGATGGACTCAGGCGCCAGGAATCCAGGCGCAGGGTTGGACCTGGTGGGCAACTCAGCAAGCAATCACGGGGAAACACCGAGGGAGCAGGGCTGCGGGTTGACTGTGGTTGCACATTTGTGTGTGGATAGACAAGCGAGGGAGTGGGCAATTGGACAAGAGCGAGCAGCCCCAGCAGCAAGAGGGCGGCGGAGGGCGCTGCCATTTCCCTGCTCTGACCCCGCCTCCACATTCAGCTTCATAATCCAGCGACCTAAGTGGCCCTGCCCTGGTGAACAACCTAAGGCTCTGCTCTTCACCCAGCTGCGAGAAACAGCAGAGGGGACCGCCATTTCCCCGCTCTGACCACGCCCCCACATACAGAGTCACAACCCAGCGACCTGGGAGTCCAAGGCTCTGCTCCTCACACTTAAAGGGCGCGAACAGACCAAAAATGGCTCAAGAAGATCTCAAAGCCCCAGAGCCTATAGATCTAAGCAATGAAGAAATAGCAAAACTCTCAGACGCACAGTTTAAAACACTGGTGATCAGGATCCTCACAGAACTGGTTGATTATAGCCACAAATTAGACAAATATATGAAGGCAAAACTAATTGAAATGAATGGAATTGCACAGGAAACCAATAGTGATGAAAAGGAAACTGGGACTCAAATCAATGGAGTGGACCAGAAGAAAGCAAATAATGGCCAAACAGAGTGAAGAAGCAAGAATTCAAAAAACTGAGGCGAGTCTTAGGAACCTCCAGGACATCTTTAAACGCTCCAACATCCGAATTATAGGGGTACCAGAAGGGGGAAAGGCACAGCCACCAGTGGAAAACTTATTTGAACAAATAATAAAGGAGAATTTCCCCAATCTGGCAAAGGAAATAGACTTCCAGGAAGTCCAGGAAGCTCAGAGAGTCCCAAAGAAGTTGGACCCAAGAAGAAACACACCAAGGCACATCATAATTTCATTAGCCAAGATTAAAATGAAGGAGAGAATCCTAGAAGCAGCCAGAGATAAGGGGACAGTCACCTACAAAGGAGTCCCCATCAGACTGTCAGATGATTTCTCAAAAGAGACCTTACAGGCAAGAAGGGGCTGGAAAGAGGTATGCCAAGTCATGAAATCCAAAGACCTACAACCAAGATTGCTCTATCCAGCAAAACTTTCATTTAGAATGGAAGGACAGATAGAGATCAAAGTGCTTCTCAGATAAGATCAAATTCAAGGAGTTCATCATCACCAAGCCCTTATTATATGAAATGTTAAAGGGACTTATCTAAGAAAAAGAAGTTAAAAAAAAAACATGAACAGTGAAAGGACAACAAACTCACAGTTATTAACCACCACACCTAAAACAAAAGCAAACTAAAAGGATAGCTAGATCAGGAGTGGAAACATAGAAATGAAGATCTCAAGGAGGGTTAGCAACAGGGGAGTGGGAGGAGGAGAAGGGGGGAGAAGGTACAGAAAATAAGTAGCATAGACAGTAGATAGAAAATAGATGGGGGGCAAGAATAGCATGGGAAATATAGAATCTAAAGAACTTGAGACACATGGTCATAAACTAAAGGGGGGGTAATGGTTGGGATGGGGGGGTAGGGTGGAGGGGAATGAAGGGGGGAATAGAACAACTGTAACAGCATAATCAATAAAAAAATAAATTAAAAAAAAAGAATTTCATACTTATGATTTTGTAATAAAAGATTTTGTAATGACACAAGGGGTGTTATTTATGCCAGACCCTGTATATCCTAACAGGCAATATGTGTTTTTCTTTTTTAAATACTCATCTGATGATATGTTTATTGGTTTTTAGAAAGAGAGAAAGAAAAAAATATCAATAGGAGACAAAACATCAATCTGAGAAACATCAACTGGTTGCCTCCTTTTGGTGTATGAGATGAGGCTCCGACCAACTAAGCCACCCAGCCAGGGCTATATTTTTTCTTTTTAAATTACGAAGGCTTACATTAATATTTTTTACTGGGAAAATAAAGTGTTCCACCTACCAAAGTGGGGGGCTAGTCAGTTCATCAAACAGATCCCAGATCCCAGTAGTTTACCATTATCCCAACATGAAAACTCTAAATACAAGAGGTTTTTTTCCTGTATTTCTCTAGGATGGTCCACTTCTGAGCTTCTCAAAGTGGGACATAAGGCAATATAAACCAGGGTATACAGGAAACAATAGGATAACAATGCACATCTTACCTATGCCAGCACTGATTTTATATAACATTTTTGGGAAGGGGGCATTTTAAGATAGGCACAGATACACAGGGTGGTGCAAAAGTAGGTTTGCAGTTTTTCATATGTAAAAGAATACAATAATTAGTAAGTAATAATATAAGAATAAACTGTTTCGCATACTGAAAATGGTAAACCTACTTTTGCCCCATCCTCTGTATTGTGCAGAATTTATGTTAAATTGCGTAAGCTTTTTTTTTAAGTGACTAAGTTTTAGGGTTCAATGAGCTGTTTTCCAAGAACTTCTTCCAGATTCCTGAGGTGAATCAGTATATTTCAATGGAAAATTCTGATAAGCAATATATTAGAGCAGTGTTGAACTTTCTGTAAATGGACAGAGTATAAGTACTTTAGACTTTGCTGGACACATAGTCTCTGTTGCACATCCCTCCATTTTTTTTGTTGTTTGTTTTTACAATCTTTAATATACTAATGATTCACAGATAGAGTGCCAAATAAAGAACAGGTCATAGGGCCATAACTTTGCCATACAGTTTATGTGCTAGAACATTAACTGGGTGTTAAAGCTTATCCAATTTGGAGTCCCACAAGTATGGTAACAGAAAACTCTCTTTTTCACATGTTCGTTTATTTTAAAACAAGGGAAAACTCTGGTGTAATATTGAATTAGAACTCAAGAAATCCTGATTCTTCTAGTTTTCGCTCTACCATTAATCAGTTCTATGGCATTGGTTACAACAAGAACTTTTCAGGCCTATTATTTTGTTGCTAAGGACAATTAAATGTGATAAACTTTTTTGAATGAGAGCCATTTTAGGTAGTTCTCCTTATGCCCTTGAGGCATAGGTTTCTCATCACTGGATCAGATAGTTTCCTCAGCTCCAAGACTTTATTAAGTTAGTCTAATTATTTAAGGTAGTCACCAGAATATATGAATCACTGTTAACTCTCTAAATTGTTTGCTGAATTTATTTTTTTAATCCTCACCTGAGGACATTATTTTCTCTGCTTTTAGAGAGAAAGAAAAGCGGGGAGAGAAACAGTGATTGGTTGTCTCCCATATGCAGCCTGACCATAGAACACACAACCTAGATATACACCCTGACTGAGAATTGAACCCATAAGCTTTTGGAGTTTGTTGGTTTTTAATGAATCTCCACCAAGAATACCTTAGTCATTCAACAATTATTTTTGTCATTGTACATAAGGTGCTACAGGAGCTGTACCTCTTTTGGTACAGCAGTTTAAGGCTAAACTAAGCCTTTATTTCCATCATTCCCTACCATAAATCTCTCTCACCTTAAACATGCTCCACTGCAACCCTTACATAACCTTAGTGATGAGTACATCCAGTATGACTGTAAGATAATGCTGATTTTTCATGTATGGTTTACATAAACCATAAAGCTATCTTGTTAAAACTACACCAGGTTGTGGTTATAGGTGTGTGCTTTATAAAAATTCATTTGTGTACTTTTCTATATGTATGTAACAACATCTCAATAAAAAGTTATAAAAAATATCACAGCCTATATTAGGGCTAATAGTGCTACTACTCATAGGAGACCATTCTGCGTGGTGTGGGCCCAGCTCCTATTCAGAAAAACCAGTTGGAAGCGAGGTTGGGTGCACAGGACCCACACCCACGGATAGGTTCTCCCATGGAGAATCAGGCCTGTGTTGTACCTAGGCCATGTTGAGATGTGCTTTTTGCTAAAACTCCCTCACCCTGAATTGAGGCAGCTAATATTTACTGCATATCTTTAAAGTGACTTCCTAAAATCTATGCTAAGCCTTCCAAGGATGAGCGTAATGAGTTCAACCACTCTTCCCTTTGCATTTGCAAATATCCTTCTTCTGTGATGTGACTAGCGGCATCCTCTCCTTTGTTTTCTGTAAAAGGTAACCACCTAAATCAAATCTGTGCATAGTAAATGAGGACCATCCTCAATGTAATGTACCCAGAAAAGCAATAAAAGCCTGTCAAGGCAAGGATTGGGGCACTTTCCCCTTGAGAGTGGCCATGCTGTCCCTTTTCCTCTACAGGACTCTGTAGTCCATGTGAATTTGTCTCGTCTCATCCATAATGCTGAGGACAGTGCTGGTCGGTGTCTGCATCAAATACTATCTGTAGGACTAAGAACACAAGTTTCCACCCTAGAAAAGCAACAGGAATCAGGTTAAAGAAAGTAACTACTGGACTTCTGGCCAGGAAGGAGGCATAGATGGAAACACTGTGCCTCCTTAAACAACCAAAATTAAGGACAACAAAGATTTGGAAACAAAAATACAACCAGAAGAGACAGAAAACTAAACAGTATGGAAGTCTGAGAACATTCAACCAGACCTGTTAAAGGGGCGGAGTTGGCGGCCGGGAGAGAAGGGTTGCGGCAGTAAAAAGGAGGTGGCTGCCAGACACCGGTGAAGGGAGGACACAAGCAGAGCACCCAAGGTGGTTGGCTGACCAGCCACACATTTGCATGCAGATACACTAGGCAGAAATGGGCAGCAAGACAGACTGCACAACCCAGGGCTCCAGTGACAGGAAATAAAGCCTAAAAGCACCAATTGAAAAAGTGCTGGGAGAGACTCCCATCCTCACAGGAGAGTTTGCTGGAGAGACCCACAGGGTCCTAGAACGTACACAAGCCCACCCACCCAGGAACCAGCACCAAAAGGGCCCAATTTGCTTGTGGGAAGCGGGAGAGGGGACTGAAATCCACCCAAGAGAGAGTAGAGCAAGCCCCACTGTTCCCTCTCTAACCCCACCCCCACATACAGTGTCACAACTCAGCAACTGGGTTGCTCCACACTGGTGAACACCTAAGGCTCCACCACTCATACATAACAGGCTCGACCTGACCAAAAATGGCTCAAATAGAAGAACAAATCAAAGCCCCAGAGCCAACACTTTTAAGCAACCAAGAGATAGCCAACCTATCAGATGCACTGGTGATCAAGATGCTCACAAAACTGGCTGATTTTGGTCACAAATTAGATGAAAAAATGAAGGCTACACTAAGTGAAATGAAGGAAAATGCACAGGGAACCAATAGTGATAGAAAGGAAACTGGGACTCAAATCAAGGGAGTGGACCAGAAGGAAGAAAAAAAGGAAAAGAAAACAGAAAAGAATGAAGAAACAAGATTTCAAAAAAATGAGGCGAGGCTTAGAAACTTCCAGGACATCTTTAAATGTTCCAACATCCAAATTATAGGAGTACCAGAAAGGAAAGAGGAAGAGCGACAAGTGGAACACTTATTTGAACAAATAATAAAGGAGAACTTCCCCAATCTGGCAAAGGAAATAGACTTCCAGGAAATCCAGAAAGCTCAGAGAGTCCCAAAGAAGTTGGACCCAAAGAAGAACACACCAAGGCACACCATAATTACATTAGCCAAGGTTAAAATGAAGGAGAGAATTCTAGAAGCAGCCAGAGAGATAAGGGGAAGTTACCTACAAAGGAGTTCCCATCAGACTGTCAGCTGATTTCTCAAAAGAGACCCTACAGGCAAGAAGGGGCTGAAAAGAAGTATTCCAAGTCATGAAAGGCAAGGACTTACATCCAAGATTGCTCTATCCAGGAAAGCTTTCATTTAGAATGGAAGGGCAGATAAAGTGCTTCTCAGATAAGGTCAAGTTCAAGGAGTTCATCATCACCAAGCCCTTATTATATGAAACGTTAAAGGGACTTACCTAAGAAAAAGAAGATAAAAAAGATGAACAGTGAAAGGACAGCAAACTCAGTTATTAACCACCACACCTAAAATAAAAGCAAACTAAGCAGACACCTAAAACAGGAGTGGGGCCACAGAAATGGAGATCACATGGAGGGTTAGCAACAGGGGAGTGGGAGGAGAAAGGGGGGAGAAGGTACAGAGAACAAGTAGCATAGATGGTGGGGAGAAAACAGACGGGGAGGGCAACAGTAGTATGGGAAATGTAGAAGCTAAAGAACTTAAGACATGAACTAAAGGGGGGGAATGTGAGTTGGAGGGGGTGTGCAGGGTGGAAAGGAATTACAGGGGGGAAATGGGACAGCTATAATCAATCAATAAAATATATTTTTGAAAATGTAATTGCTGAAATGTTAAAAAAAAAGAAACTAATTGCTTGACAAAAGATAACAATGAGAAATATAAATGAGGAAATAGATGATAAATTAGAATAAAAAGGCAGGAAAAAAAGCTTGCTTTTTTTGTTAATGTATGAGAATGTGTCACTAGATTATAATATGAAATGAGGTGAGTAGGTGTGGAAAAGCAACCTTCACAGTAAACTGGTACTGGGAGAGGTAATCGAGACTAGGTAAAACAAACATGTAAATACAGGGAACAACACGGGCTTCTGTGGCTTAGTGGATTAAGTGCCGGCCTACCAATGATAAGGTCATCAGTTTGATTCCCAGTTAAGGCACATGCCTCGGTTGTAAGCAGGGTCCCCAGTTCAGGGTGTGAGAGGAACAACAGATCCATGTAAATAAAATCTTTTAAATAAAAAGTTTAAAAAAATACAGAGAATAAACTAATCTACAGAGTTGAAATGAACAAGTGAATTTTCATGTATTTTTTTTGAAAAGTCTTTTCATTTTAATTGGTACCACCATGTATACTAATGATACTTTGTTAGTTTTAAAAATTACTTCACTTGCAGAGAGTAATTTTCACAGAGGATTATTTACTTTTTCTTTCTACTCACCTAAAAAGCTGATAACATGGAATATATTTCTGAATGTCTGGAAAAAAATTTTAGTTATAATCACATTAATTGTCATTTGAATAACATATGCTGAACACCTTACATTGAGAAGTACATTACTATTACTTTATTTAAACCTCACAATGAACCTATGAGACAGATGTTATCATTCCTTTCATTTTCAAGATGAGGTAACAGGCAGAGATATTAAATGGCTCTCCCAAACCAGTGTAGGACCAATATTCAAAGAACCTCACTCCTAACTAGAGTGGTCTGATTTTAGAGAAATATACATTTGTTATTCCACCCACTCATGCATTCATCAGTTGGTTCTTAACATTATTTTTTTTTAATTTATTGCTTTGAGAGAGAGAGAGGAGAGAGGGAGGGAAGAGGGACAGAGAGTAAAACACTGATTGGCTGTCTCACTTATTTACACATTGACTGGTTGACTTCTCATATGTACCCTGAGCAGGGACTGAACCTACCACTTCAGCATATTGGGACAACGCTCTAATCAACTGAGCTACCCAGCCAGGGCCTCACTGGTTGATTCTTGCATGTGCCCTGACCCAGGATCTAACAGAAACTTTGGCATACTGGGATAATGCTTTAACCAACTGAACTACCTAGCCAGGGCCAAAATATCTTTTTAAGAGCTGAGTTTTATTCTCATTATTAAAAATAAATCTAAATAGGAAAAGTGATTATCCTCTTTAGACATTTTTCTTCTAGCAAATGTATGCTACCCTCAGATAAATTCCTCTGTCTGAAAAAACACTGAACACAAAAAATCTTTGTAACTGTTAACAGCCAGACATTCTTTGGTGTAGATAAGGGAAACATATAAAATGAAAATCTGCCCTGGCTGGTATGGCCCAGTGGACTGAGTGGCAGCCTGAGAACCGAAGGGTTGCAGGCCAGGTCCCCACACACTGATGTTTCTCTCCCTCTATCTCTTTCTCCTCCCCTCCCTAAAAATAAATAAATAAATAAAATCTTTTAAAAAATGAAAATTTCATTAACCAAAGCAATGTAGTAATTTGTATATATTGGATTTTATCTGTTACCATGTATCTTAAAGTAATCTAGCATTTTGCCCTGGCTGGTGTGGCTCAGTTGGTTGAGCCATCATCCCGAACACCAAAATGCTGCTGGTCTGATTCCTGGTCAAAGCACATGGCTGGGTTGCAGGTTTGGTCCCCAGTCGGGACACATAGGAGGCTACCAATTGATGTTTCTCTCTCTCACATCAATGTTTCTCTTCTCTTTCTGCCTCCCTTCTCCTCTCTTTAAAAATAAATAAATCTTTTTTTAAAAAGTAATGTAACATTTTAACATAATTTGAGCAAATACTTAAGTGTTTGTACAGCACTTGCCTGACACCTTAAAGCTAAAGCACTGTTTCTGGTGCAATGAAGTTGCTCAATAAATGATTGCTTAATTAGACTCCTCAAAATATGTTACATATTCTGAGTAGCATGCCAATTAAAAGAAAAAGTACCCCCCCCAGATCAAATACATAAACTCTTAACCTCATTTGTAATTAAGAAATACAAATTAAAAGGATTTATTTTTTTTACTTATCAAATTGGCAAAGATTATGATACTATAATATGCACTACTGACATATTAGAGGTATTTATCGATGTGCAGTATGATCCCATTTGTGCAAATAAAAATATACACACGTGTGTTATGTGTATTGCTAATGAGTAAAATAATACTCATGAGACCAACAGTGTTTGCCACAGAGACTAGTAAGTTTAAATTTACTTTATATATTTACTTTACACAAATATACTACATTTATATACATACACATGTACTCTCATTTTAGCCTTTTAAAATGGCAAACAAACTAACATGGATAGTTTTAAAATAAACTGGTATCTTTCTTTTCAGAGAGCAATTTGTGACTACAGATCAAGAGCCTTAAAAATGTTCATATCCTTCGACATTATAATCACATTCCCAGGAAAATGTCTATAACAGATATGGACAAGAATGTTCTCTGTAGTGTAACTTATGATACTAAAAAATTGGAAGTAATTCTGATCATAATTTACTTTTTTAAAGGACTGCTGAAATTATATAGGGCCATAAGAGTATGGCCATAGAGACTACAATATAGTTATAAAAATGATATTTAGAGAATAATTTAACATGGAAAAATGGTCATACCATAGTATAATGTCATGCCAAATTTTTTATAAAGTACACCAATTTTGTTTTTAAAATGATTTAAAAATTTTTATATGTTAATCAACTCTGGCCATGTGGCTCAGTTTGTTAGAGCATTGCCCTGTACACCAGAAGATTGAGGGTTTGATTCCTGGTCAGGGAACAAACCGAAGTTGTAGGTTCAATCCTCAGTCAGGGCATGTATAGGGGGCAACCAATCTATTTTCCTCTCTCAACTGATGTTTCTCTCTTTCTTCCCCCCTTCCTCGATCTGTAAAACAAACCCCCCCCAAACACACACACAAAAACCCTTATCTACAGTGGGGACAAAGAAAATAAAACAAAACAAAACTGTGTATGTTAATTGGAAAACTCCTTGTATGTTTTAAAACTCTTTCTCCTTTTTCCCCTGAAAAAACAGCTGCCAACTGGTATAGCTACTTCACTACTTATTCCTCAAACCCTTGCAATCTCTTTTCCCCCCATTACACTCTAGAAATTACATAAGGTTTTAAAGTTCGTAGTCAAGAGTTTTTTCAGTTCTCATCTTCCAACTTTCGGTAGTGTTTAACATTTTTATCCAAGCTTTAACCTTTTTTCTTGGTTTTGAAATTTGGTTCCATCTCCTTTTGCTTGGCCATCTTTCTGCCACTTAAATATATGCAGGTGCTATTTCATCCCTGCTCCTCCATGGTAATCTTACCTGCTTATGTCCCATATTGTTTCCTACTTCAGACTAGGCCACTGCCATAATTTTAATTGAGAAATGGGGGTAATATGTTCTTTTAAAGTCTACTTTTAAAATTTTGTACCTTTTTTCCACTATCAATTTAAAAAGTAGCTTATGTTGATCTCTTTCACCATAAACCATCAAAAATAGGAGACACAGAAATAAGTGACTCACCTATTGTGTAAATAACTTCTACATCATCCATTTGGGAATCAGTAATGCTATTCTTGGCTTCACCTTTCACTTCCCCGAGAAGAAAACCTTCCTATGGATAAAAATAAGCAGCAGTAAATATATGGAATATACTGATATTACTGACAGTCACTTAACTAATATCTCAAGTACTAGTACTTAATGTATACAGTATGTGCTTCCAACTTGGGGGCACAGAAAAGACCAGGCACACTTCCAGGTTGGCTGGGAAACACTAACAGTCAAATACCAATGAGTAGAAGAGATTGTAAATCACTGTGACTTTGGCACATTTGGAAGCATGAAAGGCTTAAAGCCAGAAATGAGGACACAATGCCTGAGGATCTGAGAGCAGAGCAGTTTTCCTTGGACCTGAAGGATCCCACTTGTAAGGAAATCATACATAGGAATAACTCCAATAACGGAACACCCCAAATGATTAGCCAACAACTCTAAGTTAATGGCACATACTTCCGAGAGCCAATGGAGGCTTCGGAGCTATGAAATGATGCAATGATCAATGCTTCTAGATTAAAAACCATGCAAAAACAACAACAAAAAAGACTTGAAATTCAGTACCAGTCTGCTTTCTAAAAGGGGAGCTGCAGTCCTTAATTCTTAAAAAAAAAATACATGCATTTTTCCCACAACAGTGGAGATTTTTTTGAGTTTGGGAGAATTCCATTGTTTCTCTTGATACATTTAAAGACCCATTGTGTTTGACAGACAAGGAAGATTTTGTATGAATGTCGCCCCCGCCCCCCACTATTTCATTAAATAAGAGCACAAAAAGGATGTATGAGTGTTTACTAGACAAAAAGGATCAATCCAGAACTCTGCACTCTAGACAAATCCTGGGAAAGGAAGCAGGGACAATGCAAGTATAACTATCTAAAGAATCACCTTTCAAGACTATAGGAAAAAGATTTGAGAGACAAAGGCCTAACATTATGGTACTTTTCCAACAGCGAAGTTTTACACCACAGGACCCACTCTGTTTATATTTACAATAAGACATCCCAAAATAATTTCCACAGCTATATACATTTAAAATCGTCATATATATTTGCTCCCTTCTAGGTGTAATCTACAAGGTTATTTAAGAAATTACTAGAGTTTATTCAGCATGGTACTCGCAAATTACTAAACACTCTAAGGCACTATTTCTTGGGCTCAGAGTTTTATGCTGTTTAATTTAATAAAAACACAAGTTTTTAAAAGTAGGCACTATATTTAAAAAAGTACCTCACTGCTTTATCCACTGGTATTGAGCCTGAACAATTAGTATAAACATTTAAACATTTAATATTTGACCACAAATGTTTAAATCATAACTGAAAGCATCAGAAAAGGAACTAGCTGCAGCCTCACAAATTAATAAGTTAAACACTAATGCAAAAGTCAGTTATCTGATACCAAACTAAACTTTTTCATCCACTAAGAATTCCCCCAAAATGGTCACTGGATGCAACATCTCTTATTCCTTTAACCACGCTACCACTTGAACAAACATGCACAGTAGTCGCTCCGCATAAAAAAAATTCAGTTGTCTTTGGAAGTACTATCGGTAGTTAGAAGAAACGGAAAGTAAGCCTGCAACCTTCTGGCGGTAGCAGATTAATGCTATGTGAACTTACTACTCTTTCACAACCAAAGTGAAACAGAAAAGGACTGTTGAAAGTGAGAAATGGGAGCGCAAGTGGGTCACTGAAATAGGGAGGGGCACGGAGACAAACACAGCTCAGAAGAGGGCAGGCTAAGAGAGTGGAGGGAAGTGGAAAAGGGTATGGGGAGGATAAATGGTGATGGAAGTAGACATGACGGGGTGGAGAACACACAATACAACACAGAAATGATGCACTATAGAATTCTACCCCTGAAACCTACATAATTTTGTTAACTGTCACCCCAATAAATTTAATTACAATAATAATTTTTTTTTTAAAAGGGAGGGCTAATCCTGCAAAAGACCTAGCGGGCAGGAGGAACATTTCACGCCCCGCCCCCGTGAGCAGGAGTAGGCAAAAGTCCAGAGAGCTGAGGCCGGGGCTGCGGCGGCTGCTAGGGAGCTGGAGGCGGGAGCTAGCAGAGGGAGCCAGCGGCCGGGAGGGCGGCGGCTGGGCGCCTCTTTGTGGGGACCGGGGATGCCGCCCCGCCCCTCGGCTCACCGAGTCCGAGTCGGTATTGAGGTGCTGGAAGGACAGCGCGCCGAGAACAAAGCCGGAGAGCACCGCCGACGTACTCTCGCCCTCCATGCTTACGCGGAGCGCCCCAGACCCGGAACTTTATCAGTAAAGTGGTTCCCCGGAAAAAACAAAACAAAAACTAAAAAAAAAAAAACCCCTCAGCGAACTGGAGATGAGGAGAGCGGGCTACGAGGAGAGGAGGCGGGGCCGGGCGAGGGGAGGGGCACGCGCGGCGCACCGGCGCGGCGCTCTTCCGGTCGGGTCACGCCAGGGAGGGGCGGGCGCGTGGTGTTGGGGAGGGTGCTACTTAGTGGCAATGGCGGGTGGGGTTGCAGCCTGCTCTCCTTTACCCCGCTTCGAGCTCGGGGTCGGATCCTGGCTTCTCTGACAACTTAGACGTTTAGGCTGCTTGGCTGGCACCTCTTGGGAAGGTACAGAACGCGTTTTGGTGGCCAGCTGCTCAGAGGGACCCATGGCGTAATGGAAGCATGGCTTAGTGACATTGCAGTATCACTACGGATATGCCGCGTTTATGGATTTCAAACTGCACGATGCTGCCGTTTACCTAACGGAGGTACTGGAATACTAATTCGAGTTTAGGGATTGTCTTTCCGAAGAACTCTCCAGCGATATTTGTGGGGGGTGGGAAGGGGGAGAGAACTTGGGTTTCGCTGAGTTCTTGCTTTTAGAAAATTATGGACTCCGGTTAATTTAAAGAATACATAGACTTTTAAACATTGTTCTGACAGATTAATGACAAGTATTAACCATACACTGTTGGAGCACTTGATATAAATTATAAGTGGAGTGGGAAGAGCAGGGTTTGACAATTTATGAACACACGATATGCAAAGATACGGTTTTTAAATGATTGTAAGAGAGCAAAATATCAGACTACAGGTGCCCCTTCACATATGATGGGGTTACCGTACATCCAGATAAAACCATTGTAAATTGAGAACATCCTAAGGTGAAAATGCATTTAATACACCTAATTTTTACAATAGCATAGCTCAGCCTAGCTTACGTGATGTGATTTTTAAAAGGTCCTAATACAGCACTGGGAAAACTTGGGTGGGCCAAATGGACCCCCTGTTGTTCCCTCAACATTAAAATGCCCCAAACAAGTCATGCTCTATTTCCCCACTTTGGAGAAATTTTAAAAACTGGAAAATAATACCCGACCAGGAATCACCTACCAGGTAAGAATGAGGCCCAACACAAAATCATAACTTCACTTAAAACTTGAGGTTTTTTTGTGATTACATGTCATGATACATTTAATGTGTGGTCCCAGATAGCTCTTCTAGTGTGGCCCAGAGATGCCAAAAGGTTGGACACCCCTGATAGGCCAATACTCAGTCAAATTAAGATAAAGACTAACGAAAGTGTTGGTGCTCTGTGGCTTTGGCTCCAAAACCTAACATATAGTAGTGGGTAAAATGGTCAGGGGATGAAAAGTTTCTGAGATTTCTTGACATAGGAGCCTCATGCCCTTGTTGTACCAAACCTGTTGGTGAAGCTCAAATATGGGCTACAATTAGTATGAGTGAATATAGAAATGTGTAAGATTATTGATAACAATAATATTACTATTGACAATAGGATTAAGGTAAAAGTTCGAATGAAAATTGTAATGTTTAAATAGGCTTTATGTAAAGAAATTGTGCTTCCTTTATCTGAATCCTTTATGAGAATAGATATTATATCTGACTGGGAATACTTCCTCTACCTAGCACCATAAAACCGAAACCTATCAAGCTTTTTATATAATTTATATCATCCAATTGTCCTATAGTAAAATTGCTCTAATTTTTCAATTTGATATGAAATGAGTGCCTTGAAAAAAATGAAATGTCATAAAATGGAATCTCTGCCAATTTTACGGGTCACAGATTTTCTCTTAGAAAATGCCAGTTGATGTAATTGGTACTACTTTGCTTGCTCATGAAACTGAGACATGTTTTTTGGTCACTTATATTTGTTCTCATGAATTACCTCTCTCTCTCTCTATATATATTTCCTTTTTTCTATTGCTCTTTATATCTTACTGATTTAACAGTGTCTATGTATGAAAACTATTAACCTTTTGTCTGTCAAATACTGAAAGTGGTTTTTGCCTAGATGTTTTTACCTTTAATTGTGTTTAAGGTAATTTTTTAAATCTTCACCAGAGGATATGTATTTTTTTATTTTGAGAGAGAGAGAGAGAGAGAGAGAGAGAAACATAGATTGGCTGCCTCCTGTACATGTCCCAATGGGGACTGAACCTGCAACCTTTTGGTGTACAGAACGATGCTCCAACTGTCACCTGGCCAGGGCTCAGGTAATTATTTTTAATACAAAACTTTAAAACTTTGCATTTAAACTTTTATTCATGCCATTAATCTTTTTGTCTAAGGTATCATATTTAAGAAGACTTCCTGTTTTATGACACTATTCTCGAATAGGAGGCAATTAAGTCCACTAATTAAGACCAGTGTGGACTAATGCCATTGGCTGAATGGAATCACAACAGAAATTGATTACCAAAATCTTGAACACTGGACCCATACAAACAATAGAATTGTTTTAGGAAGACTTTTTTTTTTAAAGACTATTTGTTCTTTTCTCCACTAAAAGGAACTAGTGCTCCTTGGAAGAAAGGATGATTTCAAGGCAGAGAAAATACAAGATGAGCCTGGAACTTGTTTTTGATGTCAGAAAATAAAGATGGGTTCAAAGAATGATGTAAACATGTTAACCTGACATAGGCATTAGGTGGGCTGATACTGACCAAATCTGATGCAATCTAAATATCATAATAAATAATGATAGTGATGTATTACATCTCATTGAATAAAATAGGAATCTTTGAGCCCACACTGATGTAAATGAATGAGTAAATGTTATAAGAGAAAGCTGTTCCTTACAGTAGAATACCAACTAATGTAGAAGAAATCTTGAAATTAGAAACTATCACCATCATAATAATTGATACAGGAAACATATTGAAACTAGTGGGAAAAGTTTGAGTAAGGGGCTATTTATGTAGTAGTCTCCAAGTATCTCCCCAAAGATATTTATGAATGACAGGAGAAAAAGTAACTTTTAAACAGCCCCTTAACCAAATAATGAAGCCTTAACCAACTGGAGATGGTTAACATCACCAGTAAAGAGACAAATATACATCAGCTACCTCCTCATGTGGTGTTCTGAGAAGACCACAGCATTAGTTATGCAATGTTCTTGCTAAAAGTGTGTAAGTTGAAATTTCTCACTAGGAAAAATCAGACAAACTCAAATTGAAGGACATTTTATAAAACAACTGACCTGTATTCTTCATAAATGGCAATGACATAAAACAGAAAGACTAAGGAACTGTTCTAGATGAAAGGAAACTAAAGAAACAGGACATCTGAATGCTGCAAGGAATAATCTACAATAACACAGATAAATTGGTTCAAATAATACTAAAGTATTGGTGAAAACAATTTTCCTTGGTTTTACTTTGTCTTTATCTATAATTAGCATAGGATAACTCAGAAAAACCTGAAAAATAGAGCAACTCTGGAATATTCACTTCAAGAACTATTTTTAAAAAATTATAAATAGGGCCCTGGCTGGTATAGCTTGGGACTGAGCATGGGCCTGTGAACCAAACCACCGTGGTTCAATTCTCAGTCAGGGCACATGCCTGGGTTGCAGGCCAGTTCCCAGTAGGGGATGCACGAGAGGCAACCGTACATTGATGTTTCTTTCCCTTTCTCCTTCCCTTCCCCTCTAAAGATAAATAAATAAAAAGTCTTTTAAAAATTCCTTTACAAAATTACAAATACATTTCCTTCAGTTACCCAAATTTCAAAGCTTTGAATATATTTGAATAATGGTTTATAAATTTTCTGGTTAGATTAAAACTTTTCCTTGTTATGCTCTCAATTTTACTTAAGACAAGGTATGGATTTTATTTTTCCAACCTAGAGAACTCTTTTAATATCTCTTTAAAGAACCCCTGAAGTAGAACTAGGTCAAAGTTGACATTCAACTTTGTCATATGTGGAATGAATAAATTTTGGAGGGCAGGAATGCTTTCCTTGAATTCATGAATTCACAACTGTTGAATCAGGTAACCATGCTAGCTACTGAAGTTTCATTGAATAACAAATAATTTGTAATTTAGATGGAGACAGAAACATTAAGGAAAAATCTCTCTTTTTAATTTAGATTATTTTATTTTTCAATTACAGTTGTCTGTATTTTCTCCCAACCCCTCCCCACAAAATCTCTTATATCATGATTTCAACGCCTTGTAGGAAAAATAAAGCTAGAAGCAAGGATATAACTAAGGTACTTACTTCCCCTAGTGTTGGGATTAGGGAAGGTCTTCCCAAGGATCCAAATGCCTCAGAGGAAAAGGGGAAATAAAGACTGCCCGTGGAAAGGAACATCATGTGTGGAACATCAGACCAAAACTTAAGGAAAGGGTTGCCTGAGCTGAGGGAGAAAACTAAAATATATTTTGGATTCTTATTTTGAGTTAACTGTGAAGGGGTTCTTTGTTCTGGGAAATTACCTGAACCGACCCTTCAATTATAAAAATGCAAAGCAAGTTACTTACTGTTTGTTTTTAGAAGAAAACCAAGAATGTAGAAGTTGCCCTGACTGGTGTGGCTCAATGGGCTGGGTGTAATCCCACAAACAGAAAGTTCTCAGGTTCAATTCCCAGTCACAGCACATGCCTGGGTTCTGGGCCAGGTCCCCAGTTGGTGGCCTGGGAGAAGCACCTGATCAATGTTTCTCTCACACATAGATGTTTCTCTCTGACTATTTCTCCCTCCCTTCCCCTCTCTCTAAAAATACATACATATACACATACATAAAATCTTTTTAAAAAGAGTGTAGTTGCTTTAGACACAAACCTTGGTGCTATGTTTGATCTCTGAATAGTTGTATATAGTTGAGTCATTATTGCATACTGAGACTCCTTTGCTTCTATGGTAAGAAATGCTTCTTGCCTTCATTTATACCTGGAGTTTATAGCAAAGGAGGCTTACCCGTGGGGGGGTGGTTGTGGGCTTATTCAAGAATTACTTGTGGGAGATCCAGAGTTTTCCCCCCAGAGCCAAGGACCCAAGTCTTCATCTTCTGCTAGAAGACACAGTAAAGAGGAATGGGACTCAACTTGGCACAACCCAGTCAATGCTAGAACATTGATATCT